TTCATTGCTCCTGGGCGCAGGTGGGACTCAGGTGAGTTGAATTGAGCAAAGTGGGTGTCGCAGCCCAGGAGAGCCCTTCCTGTGTCAGCGGTCTGTTTGCACACATCTGGGGAGTGAAGGGCAAATGAAATGGATCGTTTTTCTGCGACCAGACACTGGTGTCCCTGCCTGGGCCCCTGCAGGACACAGGGGTACTGCAGGCTGGGGACCGGGGGCTGCGTCCCGTGTGATCACCCTGTTTGGCGGCCCTTGCCGTCCCACTGAAGCCGCAGCGAGAGCCGCTGGGAGCAAGAGTGGAAAAACCCCAGTCTTTGTGTCCGGACCTCACCTTTTTCTTCTTAAAATTGTTAAATTTTGAGAAATGTTCCCCATACGAAAGTTCACGAAGTGTGCACTTTTAGTTGAAATACTAAATCTAGTGTATCCCAGTAAAGAAATGAATCCTCCTGGTAGCTCACAAGACACCTGATCGCCCTTCCCCTGAATCCAGCGGGAGCCGTTAGCCTCATTTTTGTGTTAATCATTTCCTTTCTGTGTAGCTTCACGGCTCTGCTAGTTCTCTCTTGCCATAAGGAAACCATCACAAAGCTTAGTGGCTTAAACCACAGCAGTTTATTATTTCTCCCAATTTTGTGGGTTAACTGGGCAGGTTTTTCTGCCCCACATAACGTGGAGGTCACTCCTGGGCCAGCCTTCAGCTGGGCCGGAAGTGCCAGAGAGCATCTCGTGCGTGAGTCCCGGTGCTGTGAGTGGGGGCATCTCAGGTCTTCCCCAGAGTCCCTCCTCATGTCCTCTCTACCGCCAGACCCTAGACATCCTTGTAGCTGGGTGCCAAGAGAGCAAAGCAGAACCTGCCAGCCCTCTTCAGGGCCAGGCCTGGAATGGGCACAGAGTCGCCATCGGCCCCAGATTCAGTTGGAACCTCAAAGCGGGCAGGTCTGCACTGGCAGGGGAGGGGGCAGTTGTGGAGGCCATCCTCGGCCGCTGGTGCCCGTGCCATCCATGTCTATGTTGCTTCGTTGTGCCTGGCTGAAGTCACTCTGCAGGGGGCCCCGGGGGCCCCACCTTTTCATGCCCTTGTGCAACGAGTCCAGGGCTGTGCCACCAGCCAGGCCATCAGGAGAGCGTCCTGCCACACAGGCTTGAGGGCTGCCCTGTAGGGTAATGTCGGAGCTGCTGGGCGTCTCAGGAAGGTCCCTGAGTGCCTCAGGAGTCCTGCCTGAGGTCGGGCCAGTCTGGGCGTGCCAGACTGGGGTGTCGTTTTCTGCGTCTGACGTGGGGACTGTGGCTTCAGTGGGCTCTGAGTCCCTGCTCAGTTTGTGTTAGTCTGCAGTTCTGCGCGCCTGGGTTCTGTCTTAGCCGTCGCTTTAACTTACCCCCCCCCATTGCCTTAAAGCCAGATGCCACGTGCAGGAAAGGCGCCCCCCAGGGCTGCTGGAGTCAAGGGCGCTGCACGAAGGTGGGGCGGTGGGAGCAGCGCTTGGTCGGGGATTGGTGCTGCGCTGTCTCCCCAGGCGGTGGCTCTGGAGGCGCACACAGGACGGCAGCCCCCACCCCTGCCCGCGGAGCCCACGCGTCCCACAGGCCGCCCAGGCAGGCGCGTGAGTTCTGATCCTCTCACTCCTTGCGGGCGCCCGCCAAGCCTGGACTGACCCTGGTGGGCTTCTGTAGCTGTGGAGCGTGAGGACACGAGGCCGCGGGAGGGCTGCCGAGATCTGGGCGACTGGAGATTTCACATAGGTTTGCCTGCTCAGCTCTAGTCTCTGGGGGAGCCCCCAAGCCACCTGGCACCTCGCCGCACACCTTGGGGAGAGGGGGCTGTCGGATCTCTCAGGGCAGCCAGCTGGGGCGGGTGGGGGGAGCTCTTGGCTGAGAGAGCCTGGGAGCCCCTGAGCTCCACCTACCCGTCGGGGAGCCTTCCATCCTCCCCAGGCGGATCACCTTTCTGTGGGAGACAGCCTCCAGCACTGGGCAGCACCTCTGCCCTGGGGCGGGGGTCGGGGGTGGGGGGGGTGGTTGCAGGCTGCCAGGAGCCTGGGCCTGTGGTTGTGGGCAGGGCCTTCTCGTTCCTTTCCTCCCCCGTAGCTTCTTTTCCTTCCTTCACTTTCTCCTCAAGCGTCTTCCTTCTTCCCTTCATCCTCTTCCTGTTTCCTCTCTTCCTTTTCTTTGATTTTGTCAGGAAAAGGCTCTTTTAGCAGGATTTCTCTGTTGGGACAGCTTCAGAGGCCCTCACAGGGGCCCCGGAGGCCTCTGCCTCTCCTCCTGACCCCGCGGGTGCGGCGCCCACTCCTGGCAGGCGCCGCTGTGGGCGAGTGCGTGGGGGCAGGTGGGAGGCTGGCGGTTCTGGGCCACGTGCCCAGCCCCAGGGGAGCTGGTCTCCCGCCAGAGGCACAGGCTTTGCTGCCCTTTCCCTGGAAGCCCCGGGCGCGTGCCGGGGGAAGGCTCCTGGCAGCTGACCTTTGAGCCCTCCGCCCCTTGTTGGCCTTTCGTCTGTCTCACTTTCTCTTCCCGGCATCAGCTGCCTTCTGGCTAGAGGGTTCTGCTTTCCTCGGGGGCCTAGGAAGACCTTGGGGAGGTGGGGGGCTTGTTCAGTGGACGCCCCTAGTAATTTCTGAGCCTGCTCGGGGCTGATTCTGAAGCTGATCAAGGAGTCAGCCCTTGTGGGCTCTGTAGTCCCCTCCTTTCTGCACTTCGGGGGCGGGGAGAGGGAGTATTTCACCAGGGGCTCCTGCTGACACAGGGCTCCTAGGCACATGCACAGGCACCCGTCTGCTCACGTGCCTTTTCCACAGCAGGGGATTCCGCCCAGGCCTTTCCTCACCACCTGCCTTTGGCTCTGTTTACACCCTGCCTGGTGCAAACCCCCTTCAGATCCTGGGCCTAAGTGCCCAACCAGGTGCTTATGAACCATGGACTGGATGGACATGGGTTCTTTTCATTCTCTAGAACTTTCTGTTCCTGCTGTCACCTGCTCAGGAACAGCGGTCACAATTCCCCTTGCGTTCCCTCAGGTCCCAGGTGGGCACGTGCTTTTCCCGGGGATTGACGTCGAGAAGGGTGCCTTGGTGAGGAGCCCGTGTCAGTAGCAGCCTTTGCTCTGGTGGCTGCGAGCTGATGCCGCGGCTTGACTCCGAGGGGTTGCTCAGCAGACACAGAGACCCAGCCCCCAGCCTTACTCTTGACTCCGTGGCTGGCTTCTGGCCCTTCCTTGCTCACGCTTAAGAGCTGTGGCCACAGAAACTTGGGGGTATAACTGAGATCCGAGAAGCAGCGGCTCTGTCTGGGAACCTGTCTGTGGAGGCTGGGCCCACAAGACAGTCCTGGGGTGGCTGAGAGGCTGGCACGCTGTGGCCCGGGGCCTGGTGCACCGCTCCTTTCTGTTTCCTGGAGCCCGGCCCACCTACTGGTGACCTCTCCCAGCTCAGCAAATCCATGTCCCCCCTCTTGAAAAGTTTCCAGACCCCATGGGTAGGGTGGGCTCTGTGTTTTTTAAAGCCAGTCTGCGCGTGAGGGGTGTGGCTTCTGTGGCAACTCTTCACAGCCAGACAGCCATACATGGTCACCTCGGCTCCAGAGCTGCAGCACGGTGACTCACCCCGTGAGGCTGATGCAACAGGGGAGTGGCTGGAATCGGGGGCTGCAGAAACCTGGGGACCAGGAGCCCCACAGGTCACTCTCAACCTGCCCTGGCAGCCCATGGTGGTTCCGAGCAGACCCAGGCTGCAGAGAAAGGTTCTGGAGAAACTGGAAGAAAAAGTGCTGCCACTTTGCAGATTCTGGGCCAGGGTGGGACAGCCTGACCCTGTTTGATCTGTGTGATGTGGTACCAGGCGTGGGTGTTGGCTTTTATTTTGAAATTGGCCTGCTTATTTTCCCTGGAACTTTGCTGATCTGGAGGCTGACACAGAGGGGGAGTGGGGCGAGCGGAGAGTGTTTTAGAGACTTGTTTAGTCATGGGGTGCTGTTCATGATGATCCGCCCCGCTGCCAGAGCATTTTGCCTTGAGGGATTTGCAAGCATTAAAATGAGGCCCTTTTCACAAGGAAACTGCAGCCGGGCCAGCTCGGGAGAAAGGGTCAGAGGCCATTGTTTCTCCAGGGAGCCACCAGGGCAGAGGTTTCCGCAGGCAGAGGGACTGCGAAATCCTGTGTGGTGCCGAGTCAAGGGGCAAGAGAGGCATCCTGGGCTTTGCCAGAGGACAAGGAAGCTTTCATAGAGCCTGGGGTGCAGCATGCAGCAGGAGGGCCGCTCTTGGGAGGCCTGGGGGTGAAACACCAGCCTCCAAACACTTCTTCCACCGGTCTGTGAGAGAATGAGAAAAATCAGAACACAGAAGGGTTTTTATTTTGTAAGATTTATTTATTTATACAAGAGCTGGGGTTCAGTCAGAGACACAGGAGGGTGAGGGGATTCACCAGAGACAGAGTGGGGAACAGAACAGGCAGACTGACCAAAGACACTGCTGAGGGGAGCAGCGGGCGCGACAGGAGAGGTCTGCGCGCCATGTGGGTTTCTCCCTGGCCGGCCGGGAGTCGAACCCGCACTGCAGAGCTTCACAGCGTGACGCTCAACGCGCTGCGCCACCGGGGAGGCCCCACAGAGGGGTTTTCATACAGCCACACGTGTTCAGTGGAAGGAGCTGTCTTTTAAGATTGCCTTGCATTTGTTTTGTAAAAAATGTTAAACTGACCATCTGTTTCTGAAATGCTGACGGCTAATCCGTGGCTTGCGTCTTGACTAACATCGTCACCTGGCTAGACACAAAGGTGGCCATTTTGTGTTGGTCCTTTGATGCTTTTGGCTCTTGGCACTTTCCTGGCCAGTAAACCCAGGAGTCCTCAGCCACAGTTGGTCTTGGCTTGCAGAGGGGGCCTGCAGTTATTTGCCCTTTTGTGGGCTTGCTTGAATTCTCCCCGGCTGCCCCTCATTTCTCACCTGGGAGTTTCAGAGCCGGCGGCGACCCCTCTGAGCTAACTCCACGGCCCTCTGGCTTTCCCCAGCCATGGATTTCCCCCAGCACAGCCAGCACGTCTTGGAGCAGCTGAACCAGCAGCGGCAACTGGGGCTTTTGTGTGACTGCACTTTTGTGGTGGACGGTGTTGACTTTAAGGCCCATAAAGCTGTTCTGGCGGCCTGCAGCGAGTACTTCAAGATGCTCTTCGTGGACCAGAAGGATGTGGTGCACCTGGACATCAGTAACGCGGCAGGTACCCCGTTGGGCCGAGGGCCCGGCTTGTTGAGGGCCAGAAGTTGGGGCTGGCCTGTACCATGCAGCCCCTGCCCTCTTGGGAGCAGCACCTTCAATCTGTGGGGTGCACCAGGTCTTCTGCGTAGGACTCAGGCCATGAGTGTGTGGGTACCAAGTTCCAACAACATTCTGGGGACCTGTTTTAGGAGCAGGGGGATAAGGGGACAATTGGCAGGGAGGGCTTGTGAGCGCCAGGCCTGGGTGAACCCAGAACAAGCTCATCAGGAGGGACAGAGAGCAGAGCGGCTCTGAAGCCCCGGCCTCTTCTCCCCGCTGAGTCAGCAGCACTGCCGGCTGCGCAGGCGCTGGCCCCGGTGCTAGAAAGACTCTGGGATTGAGGAAGGAGCTGATCCTGGAATCCTGGATTTGGGCTCCTCAACCCAGAATGGCGTGACTGGCTGTGAGGTGAGGGTGAGGTGGTGTTCCCTGCTCTACAGATGTGGAAACTGAGACCCAGTGAGGTCAGGCGACTGGCCTGGAGGTCAGATAGAGAGCTGGTAGCCAGACTGGACGAAGCCACAGCCGACACGCTCTGGTTGGCGTGTCCTGTGTGGAGAAGTGTCGTAGCTGGGGAGAGTGTACAGGGTGGGCTTCGCATTCCCCGTCCTCCATGCGGGGGTAGGGGGCAGGGGGCATTCACACCCCGTTCTCCATGCAAGGCGGGCGTTCACCCCCTGTCCTCTGTGGGTGTTCTGCTTTTTGGAGCCTGTTCCCGAGGCCGCGCCCCGCAGCCCCGCAGAGGGAGGTGGCGGTGTGCCGCTCCGCTCCTTACACATCCCTGCTCCCTGCGGCTGAGCGGCGCGGACGGGCAGGCTGCTGGTGCCGGGCCTGGAGCCGGGTCCGTGATGGCTGTCTGTTCCTTGGCAGGCCTGGGGCAAGTGCTGGAGTTTATGTACACAGCCAAGCTGAGCCTGAGTGCTGAGAATGTGGATGATGTGCTGGCTGTGGCCAGCTTCCTGCACATGCAGGACGTCATCACGGCCTGCCACGCCCTCAAGTCGCTCACCGAGCCGGCCTCCAGCCCTGGGCAGAATCCAGAGGTCCCGGCCGTGGAAGGTAAGATGTCTGGCCAGTGCTCCCGAGCAATCCACCTGTGACGGGGTCAGCGTCTAGGTGGGCTCTGCCTCTCCGGGCCACCTCTCCGGGCCTCAGCTCCCCCATCTGGCTGCAGCTAGGGCTCCGAGGGACCCTTGCACTCACTCCTGGTCACTTTTCAGCAGCCTCCTTGGTGCGCTGTGCCCGAGAGATGAGGTGGCCGTGCCTGGTTCAAGGGCTGGCATGTGGGGCTCCTGTGAGCTCTCTGCCCTTCACTACCTCCAGGAAGCCCGCTGACATCCAGCGCCACAGCCAGATTCCTTGTGACATTCAAAGTGCCTTGTGGTCTCCCGAGCCGATTTGCGTGTGCCTTCTGTGTGAGGTGTCTCCCCACCAGCTTGCGGGCTCCACGGAGCAGCAACACGACTGTTGCGTTCCTGAGCCCCGCCAGCAGCCCCGCGGGGGTAGGCCTGAGAATAAACCCACAAATCATTACCTAGATGGATTCCCAGGGGGTTCTGGGCCACTCTCCACCTCTCCGAATGGTGGGCCCTTGATGGGAAACAGTGGGTGTGTCCTGTTCATTCCAGGAGGGGACAAGAGAGCCAAAGAGGAGAAGACTGCTGCCGCCACGGTGAGCCAGCTGGACCCCGCTGGAAGCAGTCCACCCGTGGGCCCGGGCCGGGAGCCCAAAGAGGAGCGAGGCGGCCAGGCCGAGAGTGCGGCCAGCGGTGAGTCGTAACGCTGAGGCCTGTCACCTTCCGGAAGCCGGCTTCTTTAGGAAGCTTCTGGGGCAGGGACATGCCATAGGCAATGGCACCCTTTGATCTCAGGTTATCTCAGGTTACCCAGAACCACCCGTTATTTGCTCTGGGGTGTCTGTTCCAGCCAGTGCACGGGCGCAAGCAGCCCAAGCACAGATGGGGTGCCCCACCCCCCAGGCACAGCCCCCACTGAGGGCTTATTCCCCAGAGCCTTCCACATGGGCCAAGTCCCATTCCAGCCTCCAGTGTCTCCACCCCCACCCCAGGTGCAGAGCCCACGGAGAAGGCTGACGCCCCCGGGAGCCGCCAGTGGAGCTCAAGCCCGACCCCACGGGTGGCATGGCTGCTGCTGAGGCTGAGGCCGCCTTGTCAGAGAGCTCGGAGCAAGGTACCTGCCACGCGGCCGGCGGTGCCGGCTTCTACTCCCACATGGAGCTCCCCACTCTCAGCCCTTCTGAGCCCCTCAACTTTTGGCGGGGTGACTGCTCAGTCTTGGTGCCTTGGGTGTGCACCCCCGGGCCAGGCCCGGCGTCCGCTCAGCACAACACACGCTGCCGCCGCGGGGGCTCTGCTTCCCTCCAGGCGGAGACCCAGGGGCAGCCGGCAGCCCCCAGCCCCGGTGCTGCTGGACACGCCCTTCCTGCCCGGGCCCCTGTGGACAGAGACCCGCCTGCAGCCTCCCAGGGGGCCAGCTGCTCGTGGGGAATGACTGGGCAGTCTCGCTGGGGCGCGCGGGTGGGGCGGGGGGGGGGGGCCCTTTGTGGATCCCAGACGGTGCTGGGCGCCTGCCGGTGGCCGCAGGGAGGGAGTGGGAGCCGGGAGAGGAGACGGGCCTGGCCTGACCTGGCCGCGGGGTCCCTGTGGAGGCCCCTCCCCTCCGGGCCTCAGTGCCTGGCCTTCTCTTGCAGAGATGGAGGTGGAGCCAGCGAGGAAGGGAGACGACCCGCCGGAGGAGGAGGAGGGCGTGCCTGCTGCGGTCAAGGAGGAGGGGCCGCCGCTGGAGAAGGGGGACGCGCCCGAGGAGAGCGAGGAGTCGGCGAGCACGGACTCGGGGCAGGAGCTGGGCGCCGAGGCCCGCGGCCTGCGCTCCGGCACCTACGGGGACCGCACGGAGTCCAAGGCCTACGGCTCGGTCATCCACAAGTGCGAGGTACGGCCCGGGCCCGGCCGCGCCCCGCCCCGCCGCGCCCCTCAGGAGCCCCTCACGCACCCCTCACCCGCCCCTCACGCGCCCCTCACCCGCCCCTCACGCGCCCCTCACGCGCCCCTCACCCGCCCCCCTCGCCGCGCCCCTCACCCGCCCCTCACGCGCCCCTCCCCGCCCCTCACCCGCCCCTCACGCGCCCCTCACCCGCCCCTCACGCGCCCCTCACGCGCCCCTCACGCGCCCCTCACGCGCCCCCCGCCGCAGGACTGCGGGAAGGCGTTCACGCACACCGGCAACTTCAAGCGGCACATCCGCATCCACACCGGCGAGAAGCCCTTCTCGTGCCGCGAGTGCAGCAAGGCCTTCTCCGACCCGGCCGCCTGCAAGGCCCACGAGAAGACCCACAGGTAGGCCCCGCGCCCCGCGCCCCCCCGCCCGCCCCGGGCCGCCGCCCACGCCCGCCTGTGCCCCGCCAGCCCGCTGAAGCCCTACGGCTGCGAGGAGTGCGGCAAGAGCTACCGGCTCATCAGCCTGCTGAACCTGCACAAGAAGCGGCACTCGGGCGAGGCGCGCTACCGCTGCGAGGACTGCGGCAAGCTCTTCACCACCTCGGGCAACCTCAAGCGCCACCAGCTGGTGCACAGCGGCGAGAAGCCCTACCAGTGCGACTACTGCGGCCGCTCCTTCTCCGACCCCACCTCCAAGATGCGCCACCTGGAGACGCACGACACGGACAAGGAGCACAAGTGCCCGCACTGCGACAAGAAGTTCAACCAGGTGTGCGCGGCGGGCGGAGGGGGCGCGGGGAACGGGGCGGGCGGGGTTCAGGCCCGACGGGTCGGGCCTCGCAGGCGCTGGGGATCCGGACGATGCGGAGAGACGGAGCCTTCCACGCACCCTGGGTGGCTGCTCCCTGGCGGGAGGGGCCCCGAGGGGCCCCATGGACAAGGTCCGAGGGGTGACCCTGCTGACCCCCTGCCTGGGCGCAGGTGGGGAACCTTAAGGCCCACCTGAAGATCCACATCGCCGACGGGCCCCTCAAGTGCCGAGAGTGCGGGAAGCAGTTCACCACCTCAGGTAGGACCCGGCGCCCTGACCGCCCCGCCCCTGCGCCCCAGCCCCCTCGTGGTGCCCCAGGCCAGGCCCCCCTCGGTGTCGCCACAGGGAACCTGAAGCGGCACCTTCGGATCCACAGCGGAGAGAAGCCCTACGTGTGCGTCCACTGCCAGCGGCAGTTTGCCGACCCCGGTGCCCTGCAGCGGCACGTCCGCATCCACACGGGTGGGTGAGCGAGGCCGGCGGGGCGCGGGCGGGCGGCCCGGAGAAGCGGTGCCAACACCTTCTCCCGCCCCCGCAGGCGAGAAGCCGTGCCAGTGCGTGATGTGCGGCAAGGCCTTCACCCAGGCCAGCTCCCTCATCGCTCACGTGCGCCAGCACACCGGGGAGAAGCCCTACGTCTGCGAGCGCTGCGGCAAGAGGTCCTGCCCCTCCGCCGCCCTCGGTGCTGCGGGCCTACCCTGGGCTCGGCCAGGGGGTCGGGGAAGACACCGAGGGAACCGGGCAGACAGCTGCCCACCCCCAGCTGGGGGCCAGGGCTCCCCCGTCTAGAAGCCAACGGGTGGGGTCCCAGCCCAGCTTTCCCCGGCAGCTCAGGACCGGCCCCCCCCTCTGCGGCCCGCAGGTTCGTCCAGTCCAGCCAGCTGGCCAATCACATCCGCCACCACGACAACATCCGCCCCCACAAGTGCAGCGTGTGCAGCAAGGCCTTCGTGAACGTGGGGGACCTGTCCAAGCACATCATCATTCACACCGGTGAGTGCACCCGCCCGCGGCCCTGTCCTAGTCCCGCGCACGGTGGGGGAGGTAGGGAGGGCAGTGCCCGCAGATCCCAGCCTTGGGGGGCTGGTACCGCTGCATGTGGTCTTGAAGGCAGTTCCTTTCAAAGGAGGACCCCCTTTTCTCAGAGCTTCCACAAGGTGGAGGGGACTGGAAGCTTCTATGCAGCTCTGGTGGCCGCCCCAGAGCACTTCCTGCTGGAAAAAACCTGGGCTGCTGGGAAGCTGAGGCCACTGAGGTCCTCCCCCCACCCCCCTCCAATGGCAGGAGAGAACCTTGCCTCCTCCCCCAGGAGAGAAGCCTTACCTGTGTGACAAGTGCGGCCGCGGCTTCAACCGAGTGGACAACCTGCGTTCCCATGTGAAGACCGTGCACCAGGGCAAGGCTGGCATCAAAATCCTGGAGCCAGAGGAGGGTGGTGAGGTCAGCGTGGTCACTGTGGACGACATGGTCACGCTGGCCACCGAGGCCTTGGCAGCAACGGCTGTCACTCAGCTCACAGGTGCGGGCTGTGGGCGTAGCGTGCTCACGGGCGGCTCGTCTGTGGGGCGGCGGCAGTGGGGCAGGTACTTCTGGCCTTAGGTCTTGCTCATTCTGCCCACAGTGGTGCCTGTGGGGGCCGCGGTGACCGCCGACGAGACCGAAGTACTTAAAGCAGAGATCAGCAAAGCTGTGAAGCAGGTGCAGGAAGAAGGTGAGAGGGGCCGTGCAGGGTGTGCAAGCTGGTGGGCCCCAAAGGTCCGTGCACTCCTGACCACAGCCCCACCTCCCACAGACCCCAACACCCACATCCTCTATGCCTGTGACTCCTGTGGGGACAAGTTCCTGGACGCCAACAGCCTGGCCCAGCACGTGCGGATCCACACGGCCCAGGCCCTGGTCATGTTCCAGACGGACGCAGACTTCTACCAGCAGTACGGGCCGGGCAGCACGTGGCAGGCCGGGCAGGTGCTGCAGGCGGGGGAGCTGGTCTTCCGCCCTCGGGAGGGGACCGATGGCCAGCCTGCCCTGGCAGAGACGCCCCCCACCGGCCCCGAATGTCCACCACCTGCCGAGTGAGCAGGCGCCCCCCCCCCGACTATTTAAGGATGGATGGCACCCTAGAACTGAGAGGGGTGGCCCCATTCTCTAGAGAGAATAAATTTGATTATTTTCTAATGCTGCTTACAGCTCCCTGAGAGGCGGGGTGGGGAGCTGGCAGCCGTTGGCTGAGCCGCAGAAGGGTGCTCCGCCGGGAGCCCGTGAGCAGAGGCCTCGGGGACGCCAGGCTGCCCTCTGATGCACTGGGACGGGAGCCCCGGGACCCGTCAAGCAAGCTGGCTGCTCTGTCCCGATGTGGGGTGTGGGCAGCACCCTCGGGGCATGGACGCTGAGGTGCCACATGCTCCCATGCTCGCCTCATTCCCAATTTGGAGGCCTCGCACCTGTTCGGGAGGAGGACCCTGCTCCTCCTCTGCCCGGGAGTTTGGGCAGCTGGGCCAGCAGGGACTGGCCGTAACTGCCTGCCAGGACCCACAAAGCGCCCATCTTGGGCCCATTCAGCGGAGCAGCGTGGAGAGCGTAAAGCACGGTGCAAGAGGCGAGGCCCCGGCGCCCAGTTGGGCTTAGTGAAGCAGCAGGGCTCTCTGTACCCACTCCCGTCACCCCGCCAGGGATCGAGGCCAAGGCGGCGGGAACAGTTACTTGCCCCAAGTCAGTGGAGTCCGCCAGGAGGCCGAGGGCCTGGAGGGACGAGTGAGCCGCCAGGAGCTCCGGCGGGGCGGAGGGGGCGCGGCACGGCCTCAATCAGAGCAGCGCGCCGAGGCCCGTGGAGCTGCGGCTCCTTCTCAGGCCTGTCAGCAGGGAGACTGCGCCTTTGCCAGCCCCTTCCCACCAGCTCGCTCCCTGCAGCTCCAGTCCTGCACTCAGAGGGTCGCCCCAAAAGTGGAGGTCGGCTGGGGGATGTTGTGAGACCCCCCCCGCCACGCGCACACACACACACACACGCACGCCAATGCCCCAGTGTGTGGCGAGCGTGGAGGCAGCGCCAGCACATCACCAGCCAGGCTGTGCCAGCACCTGCGGGGCCAGCCGCGCCCACCCAGGGGAGGCAGGGGAAGGGCCCGAGACCAGACACCGGGCTCGCCTAAGGGGCGCGAGTGCGCGCAGGGTTTACGTTACACCCACATGGGAAGTGCCTTCCAGCGACCAGCGGGGACCCTGAAGTCACGGACCACTTACACCACAGAACCGAGAAGGGCTCGGGTTCGGCCTCTGAAGAAAACCCCTCCTGCGAGCTCAAGGGATCCGTGGGGGCTTAAGTGGCGGAAGGAAACCGGTGCCACCTGCAGAGGTGGCGGGAGAAAGCAGACGCGGGGTGAGGGCTCGCTGCCCCCGGGAGCCAAGGACCCTCGGCCGCCCCACCCGAGTGACAATCACATCCACTCCTGACGTGTTTTGTATTTTTTAATAAAGTTTGTAATCCAATGGACACACAAAACAAAACTGCGCTGAGAAAAACAGTTTCATAAATTAATAAGTGTTAGGAGGCGGGGGGCGAGGTCAAGGTACCAGGAGGGGATCGAGCCGGTCCGCTGTAGTCTGCGTGACACCCCCGGGGCGCGGGGCGGGCCCGTGCGGTCACGAAGCGCACTTGTACAAATGAGTGACGATACAAAGTCTGAGTATGAAAATAAGATTTTCTCTGAAAACACATTTTTGGCACAGATTAAAAAAAACGTATGTCAGGGGAATTTGATTTTTTAAGTCAGTATTATATATATTTATATATATTATATATTTATATATACACACATCCCGAGTTCTGCACGTCCCACCAACAGGAAATCCTCGTTTGCTCTTTCTCGAGTGTAAACTGTACATCCGGGTGCCTCAGAGACGGCGGCAGCGCGAGAAGGAAGAAGGTGACGCGTCCACACGAGCAGGGCGGGGCGGGTGGGGACCAGACAACCCAGCGAAACGTTCCTTGACCCCAAGGTTTCAGCAGAAGTCCGGCGTCCCGGGAGAGCCTGTGACGTGTGCTCACACCGAGACGTCCCGAGTGTCGCAGCCTGTCTTCACTGTGCAAAAGTCCAAGTCACTAATTTAGTGCAAAGGCAGTTCTGTTTTGTTTCTTAAAAACAAAAAAAATTAATTCCACTGCCCTGTTCTTTCCTCCGGGAGGAGAAAGCGAAGCCCCGCCCCCGGGTGTCTGCGCGTCCGCGCGGGCTGGGCGGGCGGCCTGTCCTTGGGCTGAATGTAAACACACAGATAGCAGCACCACGGCCCGGGGGTCTGGGGGGGCGCGCGGGCGGGGCTGGCCGTCTGGCAGTGGGGTCCGTCCCCTTCGGCAGCGTCCCCCACGCGGCGGGGCTGTCCTCTGTGCACGTGCCTGCCGCGGAGCCCGGCGGTCGCCCGAGCGACGCCCTCGCGGAGGCTCACACGGAGGCGATGACGATCATGAGGTGGGGAGAGATGTTGGAGACGCTGGCGAGGAGGTCGGGGGCCAGGCGGGACAGGTGGCTCTCGGAGAACTCGCAGGGCGGGAAGATCTGCAGCACGTAGGCGGGCTGGGGGGGGGCAGAGAGAAGTAGGGCTCCCGTCCTCGCTGCCCCCACCCCGTCGCCCCTCTTCCCTTCATCGCGGCCAGCCAGGGGTCCCCGCGAGGAGGCCTGCCGCAGGGCTCCCCGCCCCGGCCCACAGCCCCACGACTGGCTGCCGCAAGGAGCCCCGGTGGCCTCGGCGTGGGCAGCCGGGCGCGCCCCCGGGAGCCGCCGCCAGATCACTCAGCTAAAGAGAAGGCCCCGTCCCAGCTGCCCCCCGACTGTCCCCAGGGAGGGCAATGGCCGCCCCACCCAGACACTGCCCACACGCCCTTCTGCCCACCTCCTCTGAAAGACTCCCCCGCTGACCCGTGCCACCAGGCCAGTCAGACGGCCCGGCCAGCCCAGCCCCGCGCCGCGCGCCGAGGACGGCAGCCGCTGACCTGATTGGAGCCAGGGTTGGGAACGTTGATGATCCCGGCCGCCTGCTTGGTCTGCAGGTAGGTGATGAAGGCGGCCTTCAGGGACTCGGTCTGGCTGACGACATCTTCCTGGTCACGACCGCAGGGCAGTGCCAGCAGCAGACAATAGTCTGTCTCCACCTGGGGCAGAGGCAGCACCCGTGATCGGGGGCCTCCTCACCCAACAGTGGCCCCGGCAGAGGCTCGTCCAACCCAGGGGATGTGGCACCTAACCCACAAAAGCCCTCGCGCTTGCTGAACGAGGAAGGCCTGGTTTCTGGGTCTAGGGGTACTTGTGCCCTCACTGTCCATCCCAAGAGCGCCATCGCCATGCCCCACAACGAGCCAGGTGCCAGTCTGTGGGTGCCAGTCTCTCAACTTACCGTCATCCTTCGGGCGACTCCATCTAGCTGGGAGGCCTCGAGGCGCATCCTCTGGGCGATTCTCAGTGGGGGGCCTCCTTCAGAGAGGGGCAGGGAGCGGTGGGCCAGGACGTTGTTGCCAGAGACGAAGTGGAGCTGCACAGCAGCTGTGTCGTTCTTGAGAGCCAGCAGGCCCTGCCACACGATGGGGTACTTCTGCCCACGGGGAAACAAACGGGAAGTGAGCTCGCAGCCGGCGAGCGGAGCCACTAGACATGGCCGACCCGAGGCGGCAGCTTGCTGGTCTAAGTCACGGGGGGATCTCAGGGCATTTAACATAAAACAACTCTTGGAGGTGCGTGGGGAGCCCCCGCCCAGCCTTACCTTCAGAAGCTGGACCATATCCACCGGCCTCTGGGGAGTCAGGTGTGGAGAGGAGTCTTGCTTGGGGGCGGGCTGGGCTTCAATGTGCGGCAAGGCCAGTCCCGGAGGGGTGCTGGGGCCTGAGGTGGTGGGGACAAACAGCGGCTGCTTGGGAGCCGCCTGGGCAGGGAGAGGGGCCGGAAGGTCAGGCTTCATGGAGACAGACACGGGGGAGGGGTAGGAGGTCTGGCTGGTCTCCGCCTGTGTCCTCTGAATCGGGGCGTGAGGCTCAGCTGGCCGGCTGGGGGGCGCCGCCGGGAGGCGAGGCTGTTCCACGACTGTCTGGGTGCCCTTCGCCTCCTGGGAGACCTGAGGCATCTTGCTGCTTGGTGGCGGGCCTGGCTGGCTGAGCTGGGAGGGCGGTGTGGGCTGGGCAGGCTGTGTGGACTGCACGGACTGGGCAGGCTGTGTAGACGGTGCAGGCTGAGCGGGCTGCAAGGTCTCACCTTCAGGAGGGGGGCCCTGGTGTCGGGCAGAATTGAAAGGGAGTCAGCATCCACGTCAGGCCGGACACCGCGTTGCTACAGGGTCAGCCCCCCAGGGCAGCTCTGTCCAGCCGGCCCCAGAAGGGGCTTCGGCCAGGTTAGGACTCAGGTCAGAGGTCACCTATCCCCTCCCACCCCCCACTCCTGTGGGCAGGAGCCACCACCCCACCCATGCCCACCGAGAGCTCCTTCTCCAGGTCTCTGAGCCGTGATGTGATCTCATCCTTTCACCCCCAAATTTAGGTAACTCCTCTTTAAACCCATGGAAAAGGCCCAACCTATGGGGGGGGGGGGCTAAGTGGTACCTCAACCACTGCCTGCCCCGGAAGGCTGGGCCCTCTCACCTGAGCAGGAGCCTTGGCTCGCGAGGGCAGGCCGATGGAGGCAGCAGCAGGAAACTGCGTGTGCGTGAGCTGCGCCGGGCCGTGGTAGGTGCGGATGTCGCCGTACCTGTACTCCTGAAAGAGCTCCCCACTGGAGTGCACAATCTGCACCCCGTGGGTCACCACCACGGGCGGGGTCAGAGGCAGCCCCTGGAGCTGGTTGCTGGGGGTGACGGTGAGGATGCGCGCCTCACCGTGAGGGGCAGGCGCGGGGGCCGCTTTGGCATCTGTCGTCTTAGCCGCTTCCTTCCCTGGCTGCTGAGGGGCCTTGCTGGCCGGCGGCCCCTTCACGACCCCGTCCGCCGCCCGGGGCTGCTCGCTGACGGCCGTCACGTGGGGGTGCACCATGATCCTCACGTCCCGGGGCACGGTGTACGGGTGCAGGCGGTACTCAGACTGCATCACCAGCACCTCCGACTGCACGGGGGCTGCGGCTCGGGCGACGGGGAGGTGGTAGTGCACTTCCTCCTCCGGAGGGTGCTGGGGGGCCAGGGCGGGCACACCCGCGGCGGCCGGCTGGGGG